AACAGGAGTGGCTGGAGGCAGCTCTGTGCCAGACTGACCCTGCCTCACTTCATATAGCCTTTCAAGCAAGCCAGGCCCTCATTGCAGAGCACAAGCCATGGGAAGTTATTCCGAAATAGGGCAGCTACAGGGAAGAGTAATCAGAGGAAAGGAGCTGCCAGTAAAAATGTCACATTGCTGTACAACTGTGCTTGCTGAGATATTTTTAGGTTGTTTAATAGAGAGGAAGGAGGGATGGATGCTTTTGCAGTGGTAAAAAGTGTTCACCTAAATTTCCTGAAACCTCAATTCTTTCGTTAATCCACCAGTGAAACAAATTTAACACCATGAAGCTGCTGTTTCTCTGTGAGTTAATTTCTAGTGTAAACTTCCCTGTAGTCCTTGAGGAGTTAATTGTTTCTTGTGTCTTTCCCAAACAAAATCTTATCAAATGGCCAGGCAATACAAGCCAGATTCCCCCACCACTCCACAAAGCTGTGTTACAGGGGGATGCTGCAGAGTTTTTGTTCTCATGGTGGAGTTTTAATTACTCTTCTTTCAAACATGCAGCACAGCACAGATGCCAGGCAGTGTAAGGTCTCAGCTCAGTCTCTTTGTACAACAGCTACATTGCCAAAGTCAGTCATTGTTCAGGTGGCAAAATTGGGGTGAGTCAATGGTGTTCAGCTTTGTGAGGCCATGCACCAGCTCACAACATAAAATGTGGAAAAGCAGCAAGGAAAAGAGGCAGGGATACTCTGCTCAAGGGCTTGTGGGGTTTTTTCATTGTTCTGTGCAGAAGAATATGTTCTCTTAGTGCTTTCTCAAGGGAAAAGAAAAATCTCTTTGGGCAGAATTGTCTCTAACAGAAATGATTGGCAGATTCACACAGAAGCACATTCCTGCAGATAAGTGATTGCTTCTTATATAAGGGAACAGCTTTTGCAGGAAGTCCTTAATGCACAACTTTTGAACATCTTGTATTCAGTGTTGAGAACACGTGACACAGGAATTTGTATTCACCACAGTGAGAGACCTGTGAAGTTCCTGGCAATGACTTTATAGATTATGTTTGTTGCTGTGTCATTCTGAGATTTAGAGGTGATTTAAAGGGTGATGTGCAAAGGCAGAAATGGCGTTGTTCCACCGATGTATAAAGGTGCCTACCCTTAAGCTGAGTAAATGGATCAGGGTCTGGGAATTTGTAGCCACAGAGGGATCTGTTCAGTTCATTCCCTTCTTTATTTAACTTTGTGTTTAACTGTCATTTTCATTTTGTTGTTAGCAAGACAATACAAAGGTAAAATTCATAAAGCCTTGGTTTGTTTAGCAGAAATTGCTCATTTTCTATTGCCAGAAAATTCCCTGAGGAGAGGAAGCCAAGAATGTTGGGGGAAATACAGACAAACTACAGGTAACACATGAGGCTTGAGGTAATGGCTCCAATGACTTGTGGAATATTGAATATTACAAAGAGTGATCCCATAGCTGTAGATATGGTTTGGTATCTACCTGCTGAAGAGGTTACTGCCTGGTGTGATTTCACTAACTGAGTTTTTTTTGATCTTTGGGGTGTTTTAGTAGACTTTAGAAAACTTTTGGGTGTCTTACTACTTGGAGGCACACATGGGAGGTACATCAAATCACTGATATATTATTGTATAGTCTGCATATTAACTGTATGGAAAGCTAATGGGATTTTCATGAGGAAAATGTCCTCTTTTTGCAACACAGAAAAAGCAGCAGGTCTGGCAGAAGCTGGGCAGCAGGAGCCCTGAAGTCTGGTGCATGCAGATGGTGAGGTTATGAACCCCACAGAAGTTTTCTTCAAAGAGATGTCTTCATTGTATATTTAACCTAGATAATGGCATTTGGGAGAAAGCATCCCCCAAATAGTTAAATATAAGTAAATTCCAGTGTTAGGAGCTGAACTGGCAAACTAGAATCCAGGCTGGCATCACATTCAGTCTTTTGGGGCTTATGGCATTCTGCAGCCACAGTATCTTCTTAACATTGAACAAATGACTCAAAGTCATCCTATGACTTCTTTTCCTGCCCCTACAATGTTGCAGGGAGAGTTGACAAAATTGTCCAGCCACATAGGAAAAGCATGATCCTAATTCAATTATTTATTCAATAAACAGTTTCTGACTTTCAGTCTATAGCTTTGTTCCAGTGGAAAATAGCTATAAACATCCAAGGATGGTGACAACTTGTACTAGTATCTGGCATCAAGACAAATCTATTTTTGAGAGAAGGAGGAGGTGCCTAATAAACCCAGGACATACTTGGACAGTCCCTGTGGCCAGACGCCCATTACCTTGAGAAGTCTGAGAAGCTGCAGCCCTAGAAGGGCTTTGCCAGCTCTGCTGTGCTCCGAGGAGGCCAGATTTCTCAGACATCAGGTGCTAGCTGTGCCACAGCAGGATATACATACATACAAAAGGTTCTGCAACACCTCAGTGTTTCTGATACTGGTGCTGTACATGTTACCAGTGTAAGGGAAACAGCTACAAGAACAGTGTTTTATAGTGAATGTGTAGAAGTGACACCAGGAGTGGCATTTTTCTGACTTTCAAGGCTCCCACAATGAGCAGAATACCTCTGTTTTATGTTTTATTTTTGTAACTTCACTCTGCCTTCCACCTAAAAAATGAACTTTTTATTCTCCCTTGGTTTGTTTTGCTTTGCTGTCAGTCAGAATAGGGACTTGTGACCTTTTAGGCTGTGACCAGTGTTTCCTGACTGTGCATTAGCCCCAGCTATTTCACACATTATTTGACAGCATAGAGACGAAGCAAGTAGCAGTAAGTTAATTGCAAACATGACTCTTGCAAGCTCTGCCTTGAAAGCACTCTACCTTGGGAATTCATCTGCTTCTTTAACTTGATACAGCGAAAGTCTTGTCTTCATTGCTTACAAGTGTGCGAAGAGATGGCTAATTGAGCTGTTGTCATCTTTGTTGCAAATGAGACCAGCATTCTGGAGCTGTAGTCTCAAGAGCGCTATTCATCATCCTTAAGTGTCCTTTTTACTGCAAGCCCAGAGTAATGTAGATTGATTAAGGAACTGGGGGAGAGATGTGTGAAAACAATGCATTTGACAGACATGCCTATGGCCACTGGATTAAAGAGGAAAGAAAACTTGCTTTCTCTGGATTTATATTTAAAGCTATTAAATGTTTAAAGAAAATTAATTAAGCTACCTAAAAAGTTCAAATGCTAGTAATTCCCCTCAGATAGATGGAGCTGCCTCTAAAATACCCCTGTGAATCGGTACCACCTCCAGGATGGTGGCCCTCCCTCCTGTAGCATGAAGCAGTGCAGCCCACTCTGATGTCCTCACTGCTCCCCCTTGCTTTGTTCCCATAATTTATTCCTGAGAGGCTGAAGCTAACAGGGGAGTGATAATTATGTGCTGACTGCTCTTGTTAACCTTCAGTGACCTACTCCTGTTGCTTGGCTGGCAGGAGCCCCCCTCCCCACACTACAGGGAAGTGACAGAGGTGCTGCCGGTGCCTCAGGGGGTGGCTGCAGTCTCACACGTGAGTGCAGCCACCTGTGCTTCCTGTCGATCTAACACACATAAAATACAAAATTAACATGATGAAGGCAGTCGGGGGCAGGTTAATGTGAAGCTGTAGAGAGACATTTTCTTCCCCTGATCTTTTATTCTACGACGTTGTTTCACCATGATCCTTTAAAGGGTTTTTATCTCCTGTATATTGATGCTTCTGAATAGTGCTGCTTGCTGAGAAAGCTCTGCAAGATGTGCCTCTTCAGGGTATTTAATTTTGATCTCATGTATGGCAATCTATAAAGGTGTTACTAACAGGAGTTACTGTGTCGTGGTTCACATCATCTGCACTGCTAGAGAGTCTGGGACGGATCCCACAGAGAATTCAGGAGCTGCTTTCCAAATAGTTATGGCTAGAACAGAGAAGCGAGGAGCTTGGTTAGTACTTCCCATTTCGGCAGAGAGAGGACAAAAGACATCCTTTGTCTCTACCAAAGGATGCCCTTTGGAGTCCACTGGAAAAAGGCTGGTACAGATCTTTACCCTAAGAAGGAAAAGCACAGCTCAGATGCCCTGCTAGTCAGATGAGGCAGAAGAGGGCTGTTCCCAGTCCTTTGTGGCATCTGTGGGGAAAGCAAGGACATTGTATCTTTCTCCTTCAATCATCTACAACAATTGTTGTCATGACCAGCTAAATCACGTTTTTATGCCTTTTCTGCACAGAAGCCTTTCCACATGAAACCAGGCAGGTTTACTCATGATAAGCTCACGGTTGCTTTAGCTTTCCCTTTTGCCCTGCCTGAGTTGATTGTCCATAAGTGATCATTTTATTTCTTGAGCTTCCACTCAAGCCGTGAGGTGAGGGTGCATCTGGACAAGACAGCGCAGAGACCTTCCAGTCTTGCACCAAACAGATCGTGTCCACGTCTGGAAGCAGTGGGCTAATGTTGACATGGTGTTTACCAAGGCTAGCTTCTCCTCTCTGCCAGGAATATCCCCGAGACTGCCAGCTGAGAGACAGGAAGCAGCACCCTCCTAGCAGATGTGCAGTGACAAGGGGCAATTTAAACCATGTTCTTGGCTGTGCTGTTCAGGACCCTCAGTATATTGTGGGTCCTGCACCAGAATGCAGTAAGGTGGCAGCTTATCCTTGAAAGTGCCTCTGCTGAACACCTGCATTCTACTCAGGAATTATCTTTGGATACATATGATGGTTTATATTAAGTAATTTTCTTACATGGTTGGCTGTATTAACCCTAATTCACCAGTCTTGTCTACACCAACACTGTTTGCTCCACTTGAATAGCTAACTTTGGGTGTGTCAGCAAAGGTTGCTGAGTTACATTTACAAATTGGTCCAGAAAGAGTAGTTTTATCTCCAAACAGGACTTTACTTCCAAGAGGATTAGTGAATGAGTGCATGGGAATTCATTTTGAGTCTTTGTTTCTTCCCTTTATTGTCATATTTTTATTGAAACATGTTTTTTGAACGTTTTTATTTTCATCAGGGATGCTCCTAGTCAAACTGGCTGTCTCTTCATGGAATATACTTCTTCTGAAAAGGAAAAAGAAAGGGATCCATAGAAATGCAGTCTGAAGCTGCTTTCGTAACATAGCTTCTCCCACCACATCCCCAAACCCCAAATTACTAATTTTTGCTCAGCCATGAGACACAGAGAAAAGAAGAAAGATCAAGGTATCTTTGACAGGGAAATTGAAGCAAATAGGGACTAAAAAATGAATGAATAACTGAGTTTACTCCTATTTAAGCAACATTGGCAGAAGTCCTTTGAGTGACCTCCACAAAGCTTTGCTGAGGTATCCTTTTATACTCTTCTAGAAGATTAAAGCTAACTTTCATAGCTTTAAATCTCCTCTTTCATAGATGCCATATGTTGTCATTCTTGATACGCATAAAAGAGAGCTGATTAGAGAGCCACCTTGAAGACGTGACTTTACCGAGTCATCCAATTTTGGAGATGCATAAAATTGTTTCTGGTTTTTGGGCATTTCTCCTGAAAGTGTGAATGAACTGATTAAGCTGGAACTGTCATTGGCTTTTTATTGCCCACAGAACCAGGCACTGCCTCTAGTGAGATGACGGAGAATAAATGCTGTGGGCAACTACTTCAACAGCTCTTTACCAAACAGATTATACACAATTTGTCTGGCATTGAATCACTGGCTTGTGTAAACACCAGATGCAAGTGAAATGCAATGTCATTTTAACTAAAATGCTGTGTTTTGGCCCATGAAAGCAATAGATTATTGAAGTTAATGCTACTGTTACCTGTATTCATTACGTAATATGTTATGTGATTTTATTACCCTCCCTGTCTTCCTGGCTGTGCCCAGGGCTGCTCTCACACCCAGAAGCTGCAGGTCTAGAGCCAGGACAGGGTGCTGCTTAGACCCCCATGTGTGCTTTGCTCTTGGGTTGGGCTCAGAGGGAATGTTTCTTGATGTCTCCAGAAATCAGATCTTGCTGTTTGATGCCCTGAAGAAGGGACTGGGCACTGGCAACCTTCCTGTTCTCACTCCAGTGCCTGCACCTCTGTCCTTAGGGGTGTAAATGTCTCACCTTAAGGGTGAGTCTAAGATACCCAGGGAGAGGCAGACACAGAGCCTTACTCTGGCCAGAGGGAAGATGTGACCATAGCCTGCTGGGGTGAGTGTGGAAGAAGAGAGACATCTGCTAACACTGAATGAAACTGCAGAGACACAGCAGGCAGAGTGCCTGCCATTCTGTCCTCCAATGGCTGCCAAGAAAATCTGCAAAGAGATGCAGGGAAAGCACTGTTGTCACAGGGCCCTTGCCTTCACAACCCAGTCTCCTCTGCAGCAGTGCTGGCCACAGTTTCAGGGAGTATGTCCAGGTAAGTGCAGGGTCTGTGCAGGAGAGCTCTTGCTGGGTGGTCGAAGGAGCTGGAGGTAGGTGTCCCACCTGAAGGTCGCTCCTGGGACAGCTCCCCACAGCCCTGCACAAACATGCATCTCATCAAGCAGCATATGTGCAGATGTAGTGGTTCAGGGTGCTCAGCCCTGAAGCAGCAAAGCATTCAGGTGCTGGGTGTAAAACATGGAGCCAACAGGTCTTTGTAGCTGTTTACAGTAAACCTGGCCCTGGGAATGAAGAGGATAGCCATGAAGATGATATATATTCATGTGTGTAGATATATACACACAGTCTAGTCTACACCCCACCAAACTTTTCCCAGTCTCACAGCAAACACAGTGCCTGAACCTAGAACCACACCTGCTCTTGCAAGACCTTGCCTTGCATTTTTTTCTAAAAGGGCAACAAAACATTGGATTTCCTTCCTTTCAGTGCTTAGAGGAGCTGCATTATCAAAACACTGCCTACAGATCTGGAGAGGAAAATGGCAAAAGCTGTGTGGTGATGGTAGCTCACTGCATATCTGCTGTAATGAGGGGATCCAAGATTCTCAAGAAGAGTTGCTGGTTTACCTGAATGATGTGGCAAATTGACCAATGGCAGATTTAATTAATACAGTTTGCTTCACACAAAAACAATAGTATAAATTAATGACATATATTCAAGTATGAAGGCTGGTGTTACAAGCATTAGGTGGTGCAGAGAGTGAGCTGGCAGGGCATTAGTGATATATGACAGTCTGAGGAATTTAGTCACAGACACAAAGAGACTTCTGGAAACTGAGCTAGTTCTGCTTCTTACACACTACCCTGCTAGGGTGGAGTATTTTGTCCTGTCCAGCTCTGCAGTTACCACAGCCAGCAATGCAGTGGGGGACTTCTTGTTGTCTCCTTCCAGTGGCCAGATGTGGCTCCTCAGCTGGCAGGGAAGGAGGAAGAGTAGCTCATGTTCAGCATGATGCCTGCTTCATGCACAAAGTAGCAGTTGAGGACAGGACCTGAGGTTTTCCAGTACTGTTCTGCCACGAGAAAAAATAATTCAATTATCTGACAAAAAATATGACTTGGAGCTGCTGAAATGTGTTCTTTCTTAGAGAAAACACATAATTATGGGAATTCATTAACCTTGCTGCAGAAGAGCTGTATCTTGATGCTTTAGTATTCCAAAGACAAAATGTGAAATACTCGTTTCAAGCTCTCAGCTTTACTTAAGCCATCTGGGATCTGCACAAGCCATCTGATAACAGGTTTGCACCACTGGTCTGTTAAATGAACTTCATTAACCTCCCACTCCAGAACAGTGCATAGCTTTGTGCAGCTTGCTTTTTCTATCATGCAATGCATTGAATTACCTAATATCCAAGAAAACCAGCATTCTCTGAGGCTGAGAATGGCCAGAAACTACAGTTTTGATCACAGTGATCTTGAGTCTGAACTTTTAAAATTAATCCCCTGCTCCTTCTGGTCTCTTTAAGAACGAAAGGTTTGCAACCTTCTTTTTTATTGCCGTGGAACCACATAGTGAGGAGTGAGGTAGCTTTTCCATTACAAAGCACTTTTTCATTTGTCAGCATGCTGAAGCCTGGCACACAATGCTAACCCAAGATGCAGGAAGGTTTTTTAGCAGCTTAAAGCAAATTAAGCTTTCTCTGAGTTTTGGGAGCAAACAGGGTTATTTGTTTCTGCGGGGAAAAACTGGGTGGTTTCAGCTGGAGCCTGGCAAAACTGTGCATATATAGAGCCAGGAAAGCCAAGTTGTTTCTCAGGCTCTAAATATACTCTTTCCCCTTACTCTAACAGAGAATTTATTTTTAAAAACAGACAAGATTCCAGCAATCTTAGTTCTTGCTTTGAATAAGTTCCCTCTTTCGTTCATGTAGTGCGTTTGCCTTTTTTTGTTTTCCTTATTTTGCCTTGCCAGTTCAAAATTGAATAGAGCTATTCCCTGTCCTAGATTTATCTGCACAGGAAATCCATCCTGTTCCCACTGCAAGCAGCTTCTTTGGGTCACCCTTAGCACAACACTGTGGACAAGGTGATCACAAAAAACATACACATCTAATCCCTGCATGGCTTCCAGGGAATGCAGAGAAGGCTCATGCTGGTCTTGCAGCAACTTTACTAAATCACAGTCCTGGCTTGAGAAACAATGTCGATGTAATGAAGATGCAGGGCAATTATTTACAAGTCCAGTTTCCTTCTTAGATCCTCCCACCCAAGATGTAGCTCTCACTCCCCAAAGAGGGAGTGGGCTTTTCTCTCCTCCATCACTTTTGCTGAGAAAATGTTAATAGCACTACTGGTAATATCATGTCATTTACGGTCAGTTGCCTCTGTTTTATTTGTAAAGTATTCCGAGATGCTTGAATAAGTCCAAAATACCCTCCAGCCATAAGCCATGCTGGAGGAAAATTGATTGAGTAAACTGAAGTCATTAGAGGAAGTAAACAGTGTTAAGCAAGACATATGAAGGTATAAATCTACACTGCTGCTTTGTCCATTTGAAGATCACTATGTAATAGAGATCTATGATCTCTAGATTAATTTTGACTTGAATTGGTTTCTGGCTGTGTATCAGATGTTATTTTCTTACTCTTTATCCAACATAAAAATTATGTTTTACAAAGTGCTGGACTTAAAAAACTGATGTCCATCTAGTTCCCCTTAAATCCTCTTTTGGGTTGTTTTCACTTTTGTAACACCAATACAGCAGAAGAAATGTCCAGTGTATGCCACTATTTATGTGCTGCCTCCTCCTAAAGGCAAAATTGTCTGTGTGGCCATGAGCAGTGATAAACATTCTATTAATGTAGATCCACCCTCAAAAACTAATCTAGGTCAATATCTAAATGGAAAATTATTAAAAATAAGCATCCCTTCTCCCTAAAACCAGAACATAGAAAAAAGTCACCCTTCTATAAGGTTAACCCTTTTGTGCTCCTTAGGGCCTGTAGCTCTCCAAGTTATCTGCCAGGGTGAGTTTTCATCAGATTGTACTTAATCCTCATGTAACAGAGGGAGGAAGCTGATGCAACCCATCTGTTTCACTTCTGAGGCAGAGAGCTAAGGAAGCTGATTTGCCCGGTGTAATTTGATGTGCTGAATGACAATGCCAGGAAGAGAGCTCAGGTCTTGTGTGTGCACCACTCTGCTCCCACTGCCTGAGATCAAAGCAGCCCCTTTCCTTTGGTGCAGCAGTCACAGACAAGGAGCTACATAAATAGCCTTGCAGCAGCACTTGTGCCCTAACAAGCACATGATTCAGTCCCTCAGAAGAAGGTAATGCTGAGCATAATTACAGTTGTAGTTATGGGGAATGTCCCATCTGAGAAATAGTGTCCAGTGCACAACTTGCAGTCCCATTTTTCAGTCCCAAAAACTTTAGGCTTCAGTATGAATCTTTTGGCAAATGGTTGTGGAATACCACATTTCCTACATGAAGAATCTCTTGTGACATCACTTCTGAGTCTTGTCAATAGTTCTTGTGTCACTAAAACCACACTAAACACACAACAGCAACAGAAAAGTAAGTGGGTGGGGTTTTTTCCCTAATTTTTGTGACCAGACTTTCTTTTTGATGCAAACAGAAAGCTTTCAGTTGGGGCCATAGAATAGAAGTCACATAAAAGTCACATTGTGCCATTGCCTCTCTTGGCAGTCAGCTCTGCTGGGACACCACCTCTATGAGATATCTGCTGTGTGCATCTGTAGGAGAAATTTAGCTGAATACTGCAAAGGTGATGAAAGTAAGGACTTGAATAAAACCATCAAAACCCCTATAAAGCTGGTTTCTCATTTCAATAAAACTGTAATTCTCTTTCCTTATTACATAAAGTAACTTTCTAGCTCTAACAGCCAAGGACAGAAACCAAATTAAATAAAAACCACTGTAATTGTATGATACAGGGAATGGAATACTTCTCATGTCCTTAACAGTGTGAAATTCCCATTTAACAAGTGAACAAGAAACAATGGTATGCTTTGGTATATTACTTATTGTACTGTTCAGGGTTGCAGACATACCAAAAAATAAAAGCCCAATCTTTTGAGTCAAGGCACTCGCTAGAAATTAGTTCAATAGATCCAGGTACAAGGATTAAAATGAAAACAGTCTCTGAATTCATGAAAATTCATGAATTCAGTGAAAATTAATTTTGTACAAATATTCCCTGCCCAATGGGATCCCTCACCTCACTGATAAAATGGTGGTGAGAGTTTAGCAGTGACCTGGACTTTCATTTAACTTTCTGATTTCAGTATTGGCAGCCCATACTCAGAGACCTTTTATAGAGCATGGTGTACCCCATGTCATATTGATGAATTTTTAATGAACCCAAAACCCAAAGCTCCTGTGATATTTCAGTCTTGCCTCTTGTTGTAGCCTAAGTTTTGTTGTTACGCATTACCTCACATGAGTTTTGTTTCCTGTGTACTTCTCCAAACTGGTGAAAACCTTGTGCAACACAGCTGGCACCCATCCACCGAGGAGAACGGGCTCTGCAGCGGACACTGCTCCAGTGCCTGACAGCCCGAGAACTGCCGTGGTTAAAGGGTCAGGCTGGGAGGTAAAAGAGAGAAAATATCTATCTTTGCTACAAGCAAGGGGATATTTCACACAAAAGCAGGAGCTAACGGAGATGAGCTTTTTACCAGTGAGGGAGACAGAAGCATCTCTTTGGCCACATCCTCAGGACACCCTGAGCCAGCAGAGGAAAGGAGATGAGCAAGGAAAAGAGGTGAAACCCAGCCACAAGTTGCTACACACCCTTTCTTCAGAGAAGATAACCGGGCATCTGAACTAGATTAAGTGTAGGAAAATCTCCCACTGGCTGCTGCAGAAACCTCCATTCACAGAGGCCCCCAGAGCCATGAGAAGGACACACGTAGGTTTGGTCACTCCATGGGCACAGCTCTGTCCTGGCTGCATGAAGTCACCACTGAACTTGCCCACAGCTTGCTTAGACCAGGGACATCAGCATTTGGTCACTACTGAGGACTGAGGGGCTCCTTCCTGTAGGGACATAGGAACACTCAGTCCTCCAGGACGTCTGAGCCCACTGAGTATTCTACAGGCAAAACAATGCCATTTGGGAATTGTGTTAAAAAAAAAACAAAAAAGCCTCAACCACATCCTGCTTATTAAAGCCTTAAGGCTGGAAAAAGTCATCACGATGAGCTTTCCCCACATCTTCCTCCAGTTACATTTATCTTCTTGTCAGGCCTTCTTGTATCCAAATAACAAATATGCCAGCAGTTTAAAACTCATTTCCCCAGCCTGCCTAGGAACCACTCCAAGTGCTGACATTTACCCGATCCAGAAACTGTTTTATTTTGCCAAGGTTTCTCCAGACCCCACACAACACATTCAAAACCTTTACTTCTCAACTTGCACCGTACCTAGACAGTAGCTGCTATTCTTAAAGGCAAGCTTGTCAAAGTACAGAGGGTATTATTAAACAGCTGCTGCTTTTCTTCTTGAGCAAAGCAACATGAAGCTGCTGAAGATCTGTTTACATGATTTTTAAAAAGCAAAGTTCTTCTTTCTCCCCAGAAGCATTATTGATTTAATTGAAGAACTCCCCTGGGGGTGGGGGTTGCCTGCAGAAAGGTTACAGACTGTTAAGAAAAAATTATCTCCATCAATTGTTAGCTCTTTAACCTAATGATGACAATCTTGAATAGCTTGCTGTACTCTGCAAAATTACATACACCACTTAATTAGATTAATTAGCAAAATAGAGTTATCATAAAAAGTCTGGCTCTATATTTCAGTGCCAGAAAGTAAGGAGGAAAAAAAGGCAAAAAAAAAAGTGTGTACATTTGTCTGAATGAAACCTATCACTCATTAAATACTAACTGGTAACTGCTGTAGTTTGATCATTGAAAATCTGTTTTTATGTCTATTCTGAAATCTGAAAAATAAGCTTTAAAAACATCTCCTTTTTTGATGGATACTTGCTAGGAATACAACTTACGATTGCTTGCTGCTGTCCTTCCAAAGGATAGTGTTTCAGAACAATGACTCCATCCTTAAACACGCAGGAGGTGGCACAGGGCAATGAGGTGGCTCTGACAGGTTTCTCAGCATCATAGGCCTGTGCAAGCACAAGCTTTACCAATTTCTTCAGAAAAAAACCCTTCAAAAAAATGAAAGAAGTGCATATATTGGTGGTCTTTGCCAAGCCTGAGATGTGTAAGACTCAAAGAACAATGTTTTGTGGGTTTGCAGTACACACCGAAGTGAGTCAATGTTATGTTTCCTATTTCCTGCTGGGGAGCATCAACACTCACATGATGTTCAGCAGCAAAACCCAAGCCCTGGTCTGTGCTTTGTTTACTGAGCATAAACTCCTGTCTCACACTGAAGATGCCATCTGCTCTTAATGTGCCAATCGATGTTTCAGAGTCGTACAACATTACTTTAACCAAGGATTTATCACTAAAGGAGTAACCTTTAAGTAAGAAGGATGGATTTGGATCCTTTTTTCATACAGAAAATATTAAAGGAATTGTTCAGAAACTTTCTGAACATTTGACTTTGCTTCTGACTAAATGTGGTAAGATGAGAAAGTTTCCAGGACAGAAAAGCCAGGAGACCTGTAGTACCCCAAAGAAGTAAATATAGAAAAAAAAAAAAAAGTAAATATAGAAATTTTTCATTATCATTATAAGCCACCATGGAAAAAAATATAATGTGTTATTTATGTTTGGCAGCTAGGTAAGGGGAGAGAGGAGCAATCAAAGAGTGATTTAATAAATTTCAATTAACATTATTTTACCAAGAAAAATGTCAAGTAAGCTTACCTTCTTCTTTGATACGATTATAACTTGGTAATTTCATACTATGCTCCATGCCATCCCTGATATCTTCAATTTTAAAATAATTCAAACTATCTGAAATTTGTTTAATGATACTAATATGTAATTAACTTCAAATAGGTAGACACCACCCAGGAGTGTTTCTGGATGAGTGCCATGTAGCGCCTGATGGTTGCCTTCAGTTTCTTTATACTGATCTGAAAAACAATACAATTAAATATCCAATTTAAAGAGAACACATATAACTGTGTAAATAAGTGTAAATGAAAGTGAGGTGAAATCATTTGTACAGGTGGATTTGCATCACTTGACTACATGACATCATTAAATACATTTAGGAAAGAAAAAATGTTATGACTATGGAAGCTTGTGTGATACATCACTAGCAGGGATCATGTCTCTGTCATTCCTGAAAACATTTTCATGGTATCAACACCAAAATTTATGCTGAGAGATCAAAAAGGATTAATAATGAAAGCAAAAGAATGACTTGAGGCATTGACAATGCATTTCAGTGAGATACTTCAATCTGATACAAAATATATGTACAGGAAAGATTTTGGATTATAGAGGGAACTGTGATCTTGGTGGATGAGCGAAAGCTCAAGGCAGACAAACTCAGACTCAAAGTGCAAGTTTAACCATGAGAAAAACTAGCCTTTGAAATGACAAAAATTGTTTCATTTTTAATTTTCATAATTTCTGATCTCTAAGGAAGGAAGGGATGTAGATTTTAAAAACTGCTGCAGGTGAAGAATCTAGATAGGAGAACTAGGTGAATTGTTTATATGGGGTGTTAGGCAGACTAATTACCAGACGTGTTTCAACCTAAATTTCTGAATACCTCTTTTTGTCATGTATTGAAAGGATATTTGCCAGAAATTTTCAGTAAAGTGTGTCTGAGCCAAACTTAAGCCTGCACAGTGGCATCCCTCATGCTGAGGAGATGAAGCTGTGATGTTTTCTTTCTTTTTCTGTAGAGGTGCAGAGTAAACAGTGTCTGGTCAGATCATAAATTTAGCTGTGTGGCAACTTTCAGGAAAGGAGGCAAAAGTGTTATAAATAGGGGCAGGCAAACCAACTGAGATAAAGTTAGAAACAACCTCAGCCTGGACCACAGACTAATATTTACACAAAATGTGTGGCAAAATTGGAATATAGATAGCTGTCAGTGGCTAAAGTCAGGATGTTTTACATGAGTAAAGCACCCCAGGGAAGACATCTGATGGCAATTTGCATCACAACTTGACAATTTCAAAGATGGGGTCCCAGAAGTGTAGCTCCACAAACTCTGATTTTCCATTTTGAGAATTTTGGTCTATGTATAGTCATTGCCAGCAGCAGTGATGACATCCATCTGGCCCAGCTTTTGCTCACCTAGAGCTGAGTTCCTTCTAAATAGCACATGAGATCTCTCAGTGAGTGTGGAAGCCATTTAGTTTTGTTAAATATTCTCAGGGAAAAAATCCACAGCTCTGCCACAGGGTAGCCATAAATAGATTGTGGTGTACCCCAAGTAACATGTTACACATAAACCATACAGAGCCTTCCTGCCACATCCCAGGATGCCAGCATGTCCCAGGACACCTATATTCAGTCCCACAGACACTCAGTCATGTGTTCAGCTGGGCTCAACAACACAGTATGGTTTGAGGTCTGCAAAAACATATTTATTTTTCAAAATACTCCAGTCCAGACCAGTCTCAGCTCAGTCTCCAATCACCCCTGAGATCTCATTTCTCCTCTCAATTACAGGCACTAAACAACTCTTTCTCTACGCGCAATCGGCTTCCTCAGGGAAGCAATTTGGAGGCTGAGTTCGGCAAGCACAAAATTTATGCTACTCGGAAAAAGATGAAATTCTGTTTCTTAGAAGGGTGTTGGCCACTCTTTGCGAGACAAAGCCATTTGATTTCAGAGTTTTCCTGGCTCAGTAGCAGGACAAGCAGTAAACCAGTGCAAGCATTTGAAGGTCTCTGGAGACAGACAGCTCTGCAATGAGCTGACAGGCACAGAAACTGGGAAGAGTCCATAGTGGGTTTCATCTCAAAATATCTCTGATGCACATGATATGTGCAAGACCCATGCACAAGGTCTGCTCATACCCATCTCATGTTCTTATGTATTTGCAGAGATTTATATATTAGAAGCTCCTTTAATTAGGGGCAGGCCTCTCTGATGCTCCAGCAAGTCTCAACATCCATCCTTCATCAGTGCTGCGTGCCAGCATCCAGCTTGGTAAAGCAAACCCAAGGAAAGCACCCAAGAAAAAAGATAACCAGTCCTGTGAATCTTTTGAATTCATTGCACCTTCTATTAACATCTCCTCCTTTACTGAGTCCTCTCTGTATGGCTGCAAGGTCGAGGTGCAGCACAGGATGGAGGAGGTGGGCCCTCCTACCCAAGAGCGTAGGAGGCCTGGTGGAAGTCAGGCCACCCATGTGTGAGCTGCTGACAACACTAAGCCAAAATCTGTGCTGTTGGTGGGGTGTGCTCACACCACATGTGTGGAGCCAGTGAGAGAACAGTGACTTGCAAAGTGCCCAATCCCATTCCCTGTGTTACCAAAGGGGGAAGACAAGACCACTCTCCTGCCTTGCTTGAGAGTCTTGCACTTGCTTCGTGAGTGTGCTGGATGCAGAGGCTGCTGCTGTGCTGGGGTTTGGACTCTTTGCTCACCTGCCCACTGCTGTGACATTAGAGTTTGAAACAGTTCAGGGAAAACAGATAATAAAATAAGTTCACTCCGTTTTTCAGTCATTTAAACTCTTTTCACATGTGGCAGGTTTCATTTCACAAACCATTCATGTTGTGTCTGAAACCAGTTGGCAGTTTGAAGCTTTTGAGAACAGTTTCACAATGGATCATGCAGTATGTGGTAATATGGTTTTATGGTACCAAGTCTAGTGTTTTGTATTTCTGCTCTTTAGGCCTTCCAGCTGAATGTAAATTTAACTTTGTTTTCAGCGTAAGCATCCTTCCAACTCCAGAACACCTCAGCATGCTTCAAACCCCTAGAGAAGCCTGAGCTTTCAGCTTATGTTTGCAGTTCAGCTGACTACAACAATTTACTTGAGAAACAGTTGGCAATCCATCCTATTTTGTCATCTTGCCTGCTTCGTCTGCAATGTTAGAGCTCTTTCAGTCCTAGAAGAGCTGTGTGCATGAGGAGAAGAACAAAGTCCTACTGATGAGACATTTAAATGCCATAAAATGTCACTACATCAGATAAACTTCAAGATCTTAAAAAAGGATTAAAGGTGCAGAGAATGTATTGGATGCTGACACGCAGTTAATAGTACTTTTGCATGAAATGACTTCACACGCTGTTTCTATGCAGTTTTAAATGTCATGTAAGTGTATAAATTCCATTCAAATATAACCTTTATTATGAAAGCATCAATAAGAAAAATCTAATTAAAGAATAAAAGGCTTGCTGGAAACATAACCTTTTTCATATTGAATTGGCAGTAAATTCACAGAACCCTATGAAGGATATTATTTCAGAGGAGGACTGACAAGCACAGAGAAAACCCTGCCTCCCACCACATGGTTTAGTGGAAACTCCTCCTCTCTCTTCAGCAGCCCATCCTCTCCCTTTGTAATCCTGAGTGAATTATTATTCACAGTGGCTGCATCAAAATACATGAGAACAGCAGCTGCACCTTTGAAATCCCACTGGTTTTTTCAGCTCAAATCATCTGCACTGGGACACTTGTCACCGTGTCATAGTCTATTACACCCAAGCCTGTGGCTGATGAATTACAGCTCTGTGAATCGTCCCGTCTAGCAAACTGCCAGCATATGAGAAGGAACCAAATATCACTACTAGCACTACAGAACACCATGGACAATGTAATGGCAGGCTACATTTCCCTTGGTCAGTGCTTATCCCAGAAAAGTAGGCCACGGTGTCCTTCAAACCATAATGAGAATTACTATGGAGAGGACTGTCAATCTACATAATAGAAGAAATGAGGCTTGACAGTTCAGAAAATTGGGGATAAGTACAGTAGCAGAACCAATTACTGCAAAAAGATTAGTTTTTTTCTCCATGCTCAATCTAAAACAGCTAGAAATGACCCAGGCCAAAGTTGTTGCCTGATTTCGACAAAATACACTTATCTGTTTCTAGCTGTTGATTTTGCCTGGGAAGGCAAAATGTGATAAAGTCCTGTGTAGGGTCTGTCTCTCCCTAAACCATAGTTAAGCGCAAGCTATGAATGTGCCACATCATACTGCAAATGTATGATCAGGATCGCTCTCATCCCCTTCTGTTTTTTAAATTATATCCTTATAGAAACATCATAAATATAAATATTACTATATATAAAAGTATTTTTATCTTGTTTTTTGATT